AATTCTAATGTTTAAGAAAGTCTGCAATGGCAGACATGTTTCCTAGACGCTCTAGTTTATGTTTCGGGTGTTGTGATAAAGCCCTCTGACCAAGAGCAACTTTGGTGGAAAGGTTTTTATTTGATTTACACTTTCAGATCACAGTCCATCATTTAAGGGGAGTCAGCGAGGAGCCTGGAAGCTGACATGGGGGAGCCCTGCTTGTTGGCTGCCCTCTTGCTCTAGTATTTAGCCTGGTCCACTTGCCTAGGGAGGGCACTGGCATAGGGGGGCTGGACCCCCCACATCATTCAGGAATCACACACCGCTATAGGCAATCTAATCAGGGTAATTCCTAATTGAGACTTTAGGTTGTGTCAAGTTGCCAGCTGAAGCTAATTGGACACTAGCTTTGTTTGTTTGTTTGTTTTGTGAGGCAGGGTCCCATGGAGCCCATTCTGGTCTTGAACTTGCTCTGTAGCCGGGCTTTGACCTTGAACATCTGATCCTCCTGGCTTCTAACACTCCAGTGCTGGGATTACAGGCTTGTACCACCGTGCCTGATTTATACGGTCTGAGGATCAAACCTGGGGCTTTGTGCTTTCTAGGTAAGCATGCTACCGACTAAGCCACATCTCGAGCCCTTGTTTAGTCTCTTTGAGGGTCTCACCCTGTAGCTCCAGCTGGCCTGGAATTCATTATGTAAACCAGGCTGGCCTGGAACTGGTGGCCTCTTCCTGCCAAAGGATGAAATTGCAGGTGTTTGCCACCATACTTGACTATACTAGATGTTTTTTTGGGGGGGGGCTCAAATAGTCTGAAAGGAGTGGGGAGCTCTTATTCTCACAGCAGAAGCTCTGTTTCTGGGCACAGGGTGGCATACTGGAGTCCCAAGACAAGCCTGTGTGGCTGGTGGGTGCGCTGAACTCCTGAAGCAGCTGGCTGGCTGTCCAGCTTCTCCTGTGCTTATATGGTGGCTCTATTGGCTGGGGTCTGTATGCCTGCAATAACTTCTTTAATCAGTGTGTAGGGATAAGCTTTTGCATGCGGCTTATACTGAGGGTTATGTGTTCTTGTGCATCTTTTGAGTTTGGAGTTCCACATCAATCTTAACATACATGCACGTGTGTGTTTGTGTGTGTGTGTGTGAACATACTGATGTGCATGCATGTTTATGTGTGGTACATGTTCATGTGTTGGAGGCCAGTGGTCAGCTTTGGGTGTGGAGCCTATCACCTTGTGGTTATTTGTCTGTTTTAAGATAGAGTCTCACTGGTGTGAAACCTGAGTCTACAGAATCCTCCTGTGTCTGCTTCCCAGTGCTGGGATTATAAACACATGTTACCACACTCAGAATTTTTTTTACCTGGATGCTGGGGATCACACATGAATCCTCATGCTTGCAAAGGAACCATTTTACCAACTGCACTCAAGTGGGAAATTCATTTCATAGAGAATGTAATTCCTAGGCTCATGAAAAGCAGCAGATTGGTACGATGAAATATGTGTGTGCTGGAGTGTGCATGTGAGTGTGTGTGTGTGAGTGTGTGTGTGTGTGTGAGTATGCATGGGGTACATGTTCTTTCGTGTGCTCATGCTTATAGAAGCTTAATCCTCCTCTTTCTCCCTTCACCTTGTTATTTAAAACAGTGTCTTGAATGTGAGCTCACGTGACTGCCCAGCTAGCCCCAGGGCTCCTCCTCTCTACTTCCTGCAGCACTGGGAGTACAGGTGTGCACTATGGTGTCTCTTTTTAAAGTGGGCTTTGGGGAATTGAAGTCAGGTCCATGCCTGGTTACTATGCTTCAAGTTCTAGAAAGTCTTTCCAGTGCAGTGACTTGAGAGAGACCTTTCTGTTTCTTCATTGTCAGCCTGTAAGTGGAACTGTTCCAAGGTCACTGTCTCCTCTCCTAGTGATACTGTAGAAACAACAAACCTCCAAGTTCGAAGCCATAGTTTGAACTCTCCTTTAATAACAACGCAGAGGTCTTACTGTGGATCAAAGTCCCCATTTCTTCTGGAGGCTTAGCACAGAATTTACATCCTCACTACTTGTAGCTCCCAGAGGCTGCCTGCATCCAGAGGCCTGAGCCTTGACCTCCAGCACCAGGTACTAGAATTGAGTTCTTCCTTCTGCTGCTTTGCTTGTTTGCTCAACAGAGCAAGGAATGGTCCTCTGCTTCCCCGGCCCCTGGATTCAGACCACATGATCATCCTCATATCTGCTTCGCTCTGTGAGGTGGCACACACAGCACAGGGTCCGGGGCTGAGAAACTGAACATCCTCAGAGCCTCTTTTACCCTCACCAGGGTTCTCAAAACCCTGGAAGAGAACTGTTCTTCATTTTACTGTCACAAGAAACCGGTTTCCTTGTTCATGTATATATGTACGTATGCACACACTTGTACACATATCTTAGATATTTATTGTATATTATATAATATATATATTTCATTGTGTGTATGATGAGTGTGAGTGTGGGTGTGTGCCATGGCATACATGCATGTGGAGGTCAGAGGACAACTTTTGAGAGTCTCTTCTCTCATTCTACCTTGCTGATCCAGGGCTCTCTCATTGTTTCAGCCCGATTGTGGATTCCAGGCCAGATGGCTTATGAATGTCCCAGTGATTCTGCTCTCTGGGCCTCCCATCCTTACCTATGAGTGCTGGGATTCTAGACACACATCACTACCTCTAGGCTTTTTAATTTGTAGGTCTAGGGGCTAGAACTCAGTTTATCAGCGCCTTTGTCTTGTGTGTCATTCACTGGTCCTTCCCTGTCTTTTGAAACAGACACACACCCTCTTTAACAACACACGTTACTATCTAAATAAGACTTGAGTTCTGCTAAGGCCAGAGACGGTGCCAAGAAAAAACTTGCACATGTTCCTAGTTATGTAATGGCTGAGAGCAGTGTCATTACAGTGAGAAAACAGAGGCTCTGCAGAAGTGTGTCTGAGGTCACCTAGTCACAAGTGGCAGAGCCTGGGCACAAAAGCCTGTGTTCTGTTTTGTTTGTTTTATTTTTGTTTTTCAAGACAATGTTTCTTTGTGTAACAGCTCTGGCTGTCCTGGAACTCCCTTTGGGACTAGGCTGGCCTCAAACTCACAGAGTTCCACCTGTCTCTGCCTCCCTCATGCACCACCACCTCCCAGTTAAGCCTGTGTTTTTAATCATGTTGTGTTTTCTTCCTTACAAGCGGTCATGCAAAAAACAAAATGAGAACTTGCCATGGAAAACTTGAGATTAAGTAAAATAGCTTCTCCTTTGCCAAAGTAGTGGTAGACAATAAATATTGCTGTAGTAATTGGATTGTACTAATGACTCCAGGTTAATGGCCTCCTTGTGTCTTCCGTTCTTTGCAGGGTAACTGCTGTGTGGCTTGCTGTGGTCAGCAGGATGTAGTTGAACTCAGTGTATAAGCAACTTTTTAACAGCACCTGTGTGTTTCTGGTTACTTTGTAACTCAGTTTGCTGTCTTGGAGCTGTGGTGCAACAGTGAGAAACATGCCCAGGCTAGCCCAGTGGAGTGAACCAGGCTATGTCTCCTGATTCCTTCCAGACCAGCCAGCTGTCTTCTGACCCTCCCGTTACTCATGATCACCTAAGTATTACCTTGATCAGTTCAGTGTGGCCTGGGCTACGAGAACCTCCCTGCTGATCTGTACAGACTTGTAAATACCATGTGGCATCTTCAGTCACTGAATTCCAGGGAGAAAGACCAGAGCAGTTGATGGCCAGATCATACTAATACTTAAACGGCAGAGAGACTGATTCCTGTGTCCTGTGAAGATCATTGTGTATTACTTCTAACTAATTTATATTCTATTCTGATTGTACTTTAGCTCCAACAATGTCCCATTGTATATGTCCTTCCCCGTTTTCATTTTTATATTAATTTTTAAGTACCTATTTTTATTTTTAATTGTGTGTCCATGTGTGGGTCTGTGCCACCATGTCCAGAAGAGGGTGTCAGATCTCTTGGAGCTAGAGTTGGAGGTGCTTATGAGCTGTGCAGTGTGGTTCCTCTGCTGAGCCATCTCTTCCGTCTTTTAATTATTATTAGTGTGTGTATGTGTGTGTACCAATATGTAGTGAGTGTGTGGTGTGTGTGTGGGGGGGTTTTGAGAGTGCTACAGGGTACATGTGGAGGTCAGAGAATTTTAGGGAAGTCAGTTTTCCCCTGTTATGTTCAGGCAAAGTTGCTTTTGTTTCTGTCTGTGCTGAATACTCCAGGATAGCTGGTCCAAGAGTTTCCAGCAGATTTCCATCTCTCTGTAGGAGTGCTGGGATTATAGATACTTGCTACCATGTCTAAGGACTCCAGGGAATGGATTTAGATTATCAGCCTTGGATGGCAAGGACTTTTACCCGCTGAGCCATCTTGCCAGCCCATACTTATTTGTTGAGACAGAATCTCACAGAGCCTAGGCTGACCTCTAACTAGGTTTGTTGCCAGGGGATGACCTTAGACTGTGTGTCATCCTGTCCCTGTCTCCCCAGGGCTGGGATTATGGGTATGTGCCACTATGCTCAGTTTTTGAGGTGCTGGAGAGGGCCCTATGCTTTTACACATGTGAGGCAAGTGATCTACCAACTGAGCTGCTTCCATAGCCACCCCCAACCCCTTAATTAATAATATCTTTTATAGTCATAGTGTATGTCCAAGAACTTTTCATTCTATCTGCCTCCATTCCCTCCATTGAACAAAAACAAGACAGTGAAATGCTGAACAGTTTCCCTAAGAAACGCTTATTTACCATCCTCATACTCATTATAACCTGCTGATATTGTAGCTTTTCACTTAAGTCTACATTAAGTAATGCATAGCCGTCAATCACATTGGTGCCAGTAAGTGCAGGTTTTATGAATGTTACTTGTCTCTACCACCAATGATCAGCTTGGCACGGTCTGCCAGGTTCAGTTTTATTGTCTGAAAACACAATCTAGTCACGGACCAGCCTACTGTGACCAGCTGCCCATTTAGTTAATAAAGTTTTTTTTGTTTTTGTTTTTTGAGGCAGGGTTTCTCTGTGTAGTTTTGGAGTCTATCCTGGAGCTTGCTCTGTAGACAAGGCTGGTCTGGACACGTGCCATCACTGAACGGCTAATAAGGTATTTTTTTAAGATTTGTTTATTTCTACATATGTGTGTATGTGTGTGTCTGTATGTGTGTGCATGCAGGTGTCTCAGAGGCCAGAAGAAAGTGCTGGACCCCCTCTAACTGGAGTTACAGGCAGTTGTTAGCCATCGGATTGGGAGTCAAATCCAGAGCATGTAGAAAAGCAGTATTCACCTCTTAACTGCTGAGCCTTCACTCCAGCCCTGTTAAAAAATTTTATTGGAAAATGGCTATATACATTTGTTGATGTGCTGCTCATTTCGTTAATAATGTTTCCTGGAAAACGGCTAGCCCGTTGGTTCATGTATTACCCGTTTTGTTAAAATTTTATTGGAACATAGATGTTCTCATTTGTTCATGTGCTGCCCATTTTGTTAATGAACTGTCGTTGTTGTTGTTAATACAGCTTTTTTGGTGTCACTAAAGGTTGCTCGCACCATGGCCTCTCCTCTTCTGTCTGTCTGCTTTTACACAGCCATAGAGGCGGTGAGCAGGCTGAAGGAGCTGAACTGGTCTGCAAGGCCTGAAGTGTTTGCTTTCAGGCCTTGGAAGAGAAACATTTCTGACTTTCGCAGAGATGATTTCATAACACGAAGTTCTTGGGACATGACACTGCTCAAGGGAACTTGCCTTCTCCCAACCCCTTTCGGCAAAAAGCAGTGTCCAAATTGGGCAGGCATGAGAACCCGTCTTTCTCCAGGCTGCTTCATTTCATCATACTTAGTCCCAACAGTTAACTTTATCCACTTCCTCCTGTGTCTGTTAGGAGTTCCTGCTAAGGAACTCTCAAACATTTCCAAAAGTGTTTCATTATATAACTGCCATCATGCCTCCCTCTTTTAATTTAAATGAGGCTTTATAGTGGAAACAAATTGGAATTAAAATGGACACAAATTCTGTTCAAGTGCTGGTTATTTATTCATTAGGTTCCAACCAAGCTCTGTGTGTGTGTGTGTGTGTGTGTGTGTGTGTGTGTGTGTGTGTGTGTGAGAGAGAGAGAGAGAGAGAGATAATGGAGTCCATTAGAGGAAGAGTTAGAGAAACTGTATATCCTGACTTTTCTTAAAAGCACCTCTCTTGCCAACTACGTTGGCCCATTTCTAAGAGGGTGGTGTTGTTGCAGAGCACAGTACCATTTAGAGACATTAATCAAGAACTTTTGCAGTTAAAATGTTTTTTTTTTTCTTTTTAAGCAAAACAGAATCCCCCTTTCAGACCTAACTGGGCCCCTAGAGGACACATTCCTGTAGCGCTATATTTTCCAAGATGATTCTATCATTTATGTCCCATGGCTCATGGGATGGATGGGCAGGAGCTGAGGCAGAAAGGACTTCAGACCCATCTGGCCAAGACATTTCTTTAGAGTTTGAAATGCTAGGTGATGCATGGCCACTGACCTGGTTACTTATTGGTGAGATTGGAGGCAAAATAAATGAGCTTGGATGGTAGCCCAAATGGCTGAGGGAACAGGGACATCAGAGGAAGTTTGCCTGAGTATTTTCATTGCTTAAATATTTTTGTGAGTGTGTGTGTGTGTGTGTGTGTGTGTGCATGCACACACATGTGCACGTATGAGTACACACATGCTATGGCACATGTGTAGAGCTCAGACAGTCTCACTCTTGAGTCTTCTGTTTCTGCCATGCGGCTTGCTCCAGGATAGCTAGCCTGCAAGCTTCTGGATGATTCTCCTGTCGCTGCCTGCTATCTCACTGTGGGTGTGCTGGGATTACAGATGTGGACCACCACACCTGGCTCATCATGTGGGCCCCAAGGATTGAACTGTGGTTACTGAGCTCCCACTTTTACCTGCAGAGCTATTTCTCTTGTCCCTTTCTTGAGCATTGGTAAGTCTACATACCAAGTTCATGGCCAGCCTGGGCTATTTATGCCCTTATCAAAAAATCCAAAACAAACCAAAACAAAAAACTCCAGATAAGAAAGGCTGATTGATACTTACCCATTCTGTGGGAACTAACCCAGCCCCATGAGATCCGACCTACTCCTGAGACATAGCATTAATCCGTCCTGAAGATGAAGCCTCCGTGACTCTGTCTTCAGATAGCCCTGTCTTAAAGATTCCATCACCTCCCCACCACTGGCTGGGAACCAAGCTTCTATCTAGCACGTGGACCCTTGGGACAGTGGTAAGGCAAGCAGACCCAGGACTCAGGTGGTCCTGTAAGTGAGTGTGACTTGCTTCTGATCATTCTGCAAGGCCTCGGGAAGACCATGTTGTACCTTCACGCTCAGCTCACTAACCTCAGACTAGAGTTTAGCAGTTCCTTCACTTTTGATTTTGTTCTTTGAGACAGGGCTCTTGTAGCCCAGGCCTTCCTCCCTATATAGCTGAAGGTGACCTTAACTTCTGATCTTCTCCCTCCACCTTGGGAATGCCGTTATTATCTCGGCGTTCCCTGCCATGTTTGGTGTCCAGGCTCAGGTATCGAAACCCCAGGCTTTGTTTGTGCTTGCTAGGCAAACGCTTTGCCAACTGAGCCACCGCCCCAACCCTAACTCCTTCCTTCTCTGTTCACTGGCCTGCAGACTGCAGTAGTGTAAGTGCTACTTGTAACCTTGTCAGCGGCAGATAGCCAATATTTTGAGTAAGTAAGGAGCTGTCTTAGCTTATCGAGACTCATCTTTACTCTGTGCTGATAGTCCTGCTGGGCCTGCTGCTAGACAGTGTGACTTAACGTGTTAATAAACAAACATGTGCGCCTCTTTATCACAATTAAAAGCATATTTTAACTGGGGAATACAGCTCATTGGTAGAGTGCTTTCCTGGCATGTGTGAGGCTCTGGATTTGATCCCAAATACTAAAGAAGAAGAGGAAGAAAAAAAAAAAAAAGACAAAATATTTTAGTCACTGAGTGTAGTTGGTTTCCTCTTGAATCCTATAGATTTCAACCTTTTTCCACTGGAAGATCCCTCTGTGGGGGCTGGGGATGTAACTCAGTTGTTAGAGTGTATGCCTAACATGTGCGAAGCTCTGGGATTGATCCCCAGCACGACATAGACTGGGCAATGCTGGTTGTTCTGGGATTGATCCCCAGCACGACATAGACTGGGCAATGCTGGTTGTTCTGGGATTGATCCCAGCACGACATAGACTGGGCAATGCTGGTTGTTCTGGGATTGATCCCCAGCACGACATAGACTGGGCAATGCTGGTTGTTCTGGGATTGATCCCCAGCACGACATAGACTGGGCAATGCTGGTTGTTCTGGGATTGATCCCCAGCACGACATAGACTGGGCAATGCTGGTTGTTCTGCTTTCCTTCTGTTGCTGAGGCACACACAGGACCAAAAGCAACTAGGGGAGAAAGAGTTTATTTTGTCTTAAAAGCCAGCATTCATCATTGAGAGGAGCCAGGGCAGGGATTCAAGCAAGAAACTGAAAGAGAAGTCACGGGGGAGCCTTGCTTGTTGGCTAGCTGAGGCTCATGCTTGGCTGGGTTTCCTGTACAGCCTAGGATCACCTGCCTAGGGAATGATGCCACCCACAGTGAGCTACCAATCATGAGGGTCCCCCACAGACATGCCCACAGATCAGTCTGATCTTGGCAGTCCTTCATTTGAGCTCCCCTTCCCAAAACGAGTCTAGGCAGTGTCACACTGATAGCTAAAGCCACTAGAACACTGGCACACACCTATAATCTCAGCATTTGGGAGGTGGAGGTGGTATGATCAGGAGTTCTGTGTCATCCACAGTTACATAGCTGCATAGAGAATTCAAGGACATTGAGCCAAAAAAGGGGGGCCTCTGTTAAAGGTCTATTTACTGTTAGAGTCTATCAGGGGCCTCTAGTAGAAGTCAAAGAGAATTGTAGGGGTGTGGACACTGCCCAGCCCATTGTTTCCTGTCATTGCGACTTGCCCTCTCAACTCTAGGGAGTTGTCAGGCAAGGGTGGGGAGTGGGTGTGAGCTCAGCTGCACTTGCTGGTTTGCTTTTTGACCAGCTCAAGGAATTGAGCTGAATCCATGGCTGAACGTATCGACTCGATCTTACAAGGAGGAAATTTGCCAGAATGTTTCTCCACCCAGCCTCAAACAACTTGCATAATGTATGTGATGAATTTAAAATGAAAACATACAGGAGCACACATGCACACACATATATATTCATGTGTATACATATAGGAGCACACACACACATATATTCACATGTATACATACAGGAACACACATTCACATATTCACATGTACACATTCAGAAGCACACACATATTCGCATGTATACATACAGGAACACACACATATTCACATGTACACATTCAGAAGCACACACATATTCACATGTATACATACAGGAGCACACACACACATTCACATATTCACATGTATACATACAGAAACACACACACATTCACATATTCACATGTATACATACAGGAGCACACACACATTCACATATTCGCATGTATACATACAGGAGCACACACACACATTCACATATTCACATGTATACATACAGAAACACACACACATATTCACATGTACACATTCAGAAGCACACACATATTCACATGTATACATACAGGAGCACACACACACATTCACATATTCACATGTATACATACAGGAGCACACACACATTCACATATTCACATGTACACATTCAGAAGCACACACATATTCACATGTATACATACAGAAACACACACATTCACATATTCACATGTACACATTCAGAAGCACACACATATTCGCATGTATACATACAGGAGCACACACACACATTCACATATTCACATGTATACATACAGAAACACACACACATATTCACATGTACACATTCAGAAGCACACACATATTCACATGTATACATACAGGAGCACACACACACACATATTCACATATTCACATGTATACATACAGGAGCACACACACACATATTCACATATTCACATGTATACATACAGGAGCACACACACACATTCACATATTCACATGTATACATACAGGAGCACACACACACATTCACATATTCACATGTATACATACAGAAACACACACACATATTCACATGTATACATACAGGAGCACACACACACACATTCACATATTCACATGTATACATACAGGAGCACACACACACATTCACATATTCACATGTATACATACAGAAACACACACACATTCACATATTCACATGTATACATACAGGAGCACACACACACATTCACATATTCACATGTATACATACAGGAGCACACACACATTCACATATTCACATGTACACATTCAGAAGCACACACATATTCACATGTATACATACAGGAGCACACACACACATATTCACATGTATACATACAGAAACACACACACATTCACATATTCACATGTATACATACAGGAGCACACACACACATTCACATATTCACATGTATACATACAGAAACACACACACATTCACATATTCACATGTATACATACAGGAGCACACACACACATTCACATATTCACATGTATACATACAGGAGCACACACACATTCACATATTCACATGTACACATTCAGAAGCACACACATATTCACATGTATACACACAGGAGCACACACACACATTCACATATTCACATGTATACATACAGGAGCACACACACACATATTCACATGTATACATACAGGAGCACACACACACATATTCACATGTACACATACAGGAGCACACACACACACATATATTCACATGTATACATACAGAAACACACACACACATATTCACATGTACACATTCAGAAGCACACACATATTCACATGTATACATACAGGAGCACACACACATTCACATATTCACATGTACACATTCAGAAGCACACACATATTCACATGTATACATACAGGAGCACACACACACATATTCACATGTATACATACAGGAGCACACACACATTCACATATTCACATGTATACATACAGGAGCACACACACATTCACATATTCACATGTATACATACAGGAGCACACACACACATTCACATATTCACATGTATACATACAGGAGCACACACACATTCACATATTCACATGTATACATACAGGAGCACACACACACACATATTCACATGTACACATTCAGAAGCACACACATATTCACATGTATACATACAGGAGCACACACACACATTCACATATTCACATGTATACATACAGGAGCACACACACACATTCACATATTCACATGTATACATACAGGAGCACACACACATTCACATATTCACATGTACACATTCAGAAGCACACACATATTCACATGTATACATACAGAAACACACACATTCACATATTCACATGTACACATTCAGAAGCACACACATATTCACATGTATACATACAGAAACACACACATTCACATATTCACATGTACACATTCAGAAGCACACACATATTCACATGTATACATACAGAAACACACACATTCACATATTCACATGTACACATTCAGAAGCACACACATATTCGCATGTATACATACAGGAGCACACACACACATTCACATATTCACATGTATACATACAGAAACACACACACATATTCACATGTACACATTCAGAAGCACACACATATTCACATGTATACATACAGAAACACACACATTCACATATTCACATGTACACATTCAGAAGCACACACATATTCACATGTATACATACAGAAACACACACATTCACATATTCACATGTACACATTCAGAAGCACACACATATTCACATGTATACATACAGGAGCACACACACACACATATATTCACATGTATACATACAGAAACACACACACATATTCACATGTACACATTCAGAAGCACACACATATTCACATGTATACATACAGGAGCACACACACATACATATTCACATGTATACATACAGGAGCACACACACACACATATTCACATGTATACATACAGGAGCACACACACACACATTCACATATTTACATGTATACATACAGGAGCACATACACCCATATTCACATATTCACATGTATACATACAGGAGCACATACACCCATATTCTCATGTACACATTCAGAAGCACACACATATTCACATGTATACATACAGGAGCACACACACACACATATTCACATGTATACATACAGGAGCACATACACCCATATTCTCATGTACACATTCAGAAGCACACACATATTCACATGTATACATACAGGAGCACACACACACACATATTTACATGTATACATACAGGAACACACACACATATTTACATGTATACATACAGGAACACACACATACCCCTTTATGAAATACTTCATTGAAGGAGATGAAAATGTATTATATATGTGTATGAAATGTCAAAGAATTAAAAAATAAATACCCAAGACATATAGTTCACAATAACTGCAGAAAACAATGCTTTTCTTTTTACCACAGACTTAGGAGGGAAGGCCAAATGTTACCTCCCATTTGCCAGCTTGCCACTGGTCAAGTCCAGCCTTTGAGGTACTGGGTTTTCACTGTAAATGGGTTTCTAGGAGTGTGGGCATCTAGAAACTTCTCTTTGCCATGACTTTGCCACAGGCGAGTTTACTCCATGTTCTTCGATGTTCAGATGTGAAGCCGTTGTGCTGAGAGCATCTTTTCCTTGTAGCGTCCGAGTTGCAATTTAGAGTATGGAGGTGGTGCTGGTTCCTGGTAATAATACTCAGGTTACTAAGCTTGACAACAGGCACCTCTACCCACTGTGTAGCCTAGGATGACTGCTGATCCTCCTGCCTCTCCTCCCGAGTGCTGTGGTTATACAGTCTTGCACCACTATTCCTGGTTTATGCTGGAGACTGAGTCTAAGCAAGCACCCTACCCACTGAGCTACAGCCCCAGCTCCAGGTTTTCAATTATCACAAAAAAAAATGATGCTAAAGATTGGAATTGAACAGTCACATTTCCCCTTCATTTTTCTGTGGATTTAGTAACCAACAAAATTCTCATTGATTATTAAGCCCCCTCCCTTATGCAAGGAGTGGTCACATTTTTCATTATTTTTTTACCACTTCTTAAAAGACATAAAGAAAACGCGTGTGTTTAGCATGTGTACCTGACTTTGTTGCTGAGGACTAAGGTAATTTTTTTACTGAACTGTTGATTGACAGATTCATGTGTGTGCTTACAAGTCACACTGAGCCTGATTGTATGTGTGTGTGTGTGTGTGAGCGTGCGTGTGCACTTTCATTTGTATATGTGGGTGCGGGTATTGTGCAGGTGTGTGTACCTGTGAGGTCCAGAGTCCAACCTTGGTTGCTACTCCTCAGACACCATCCAGTTTGTACTTTTGAGACAAGTTCACTCACTGAGCCTGGTGCTCACCCAGGAGGCTAGCCTGATCACTGAGCCTGAGGGATCCTTCTGTGTGCAGTTCCCTGGTGCTGGGATTACAAGCATATGCCATCAACACTGGCTTCTTTTCATGTGGGTTATAAGGATCCAACTCAGGTTTTTGTGCTTGTGTGGCAAGATTTACTGACTGACTGCTCGCCTCAGTCTCCCCATTACTGTTTCAGGTGCAGTATCTAAGGTCCCTTAGTGAGAAGCTGCACTTCTGTAATTAGAGTGGTAATTCTTTTTTTAAATAATGTGTTCATGTGTGTGAAGGCAAGTGCGCTCCTGGAAGCAAGGACACTTTCGGGAGCTCCCAGGGATTCTCCTGTCCTCTGCCTTCCACTTTTGTCCCGGGAGCTGGGACTGCAAACTCACACCACCTGGCTTTATGTAGGTGCCGGGGTTTTAAACGTAGGTCCTTACGCTGGCAGGGGCGTTAGGGGAGCAAGTGATTTATCCACCAAACCGTCCTCCCAGCACCAGTGGTGGTGAATTCACGTCACAGCCTGGTTTGAATGAATGAGACTGTCCCCAAGTCTGGGGTGGCACCTTGAAAAGTAAGATGAAAAGGAAAACAAACACCAGAGTATTCCACGGCACCAATGATGGAGTTGTTCCCCAGGGTCATGTTGATACATGGAGGCAAAGATTTCAGAACAGTGGTCTAATAAAACTTCCCACTGGATTGACATCTGTAATTGAACTTGCAGAGCTGGGGACAAAAAGGAAACAAAAATGGCCCCACTGGGAACTTAGAGCAAGCCAATGGACAGGGACGATCGTGGAGCTGATTGGACCTTTGGCCTGTGACTTGAATTGAGGGCTATGGCTTGGCCTTCCATGCCCAGATTCCTGGGGGTCCCACCCCTTGAGCCTTAGCACACTTAGAACCCCAAAGTACACAGAATACTAACTTGTGGTCATGAAGAACTTCTGTCCTGTGAATGACCCTGAGCAGGCTGGGGTTGGGGTGGGGGGAGCTCCAGGATCACCCTTGCTCCGTGAGCCTGGTTCCAGGCAGAGTATAGCCAACTCTGGTCCTCTTTGTGAAGGATCAATTGTCTCTGAAAATATGGGAGCCACCAACCAGAAGCCGGAGAAAAAGCAAGGGGTGGGGTGGAGGTTGAAATGAAAAGAAGGGGCTGGCTGGGTGGCTCACAGTAGCTGTGACCAGGGAACACTGGGAAGCCACAGAACAGCTGTGTGGTCATGGGTAACCCAGCGCTGCCTTTAAGACCTAAGTGAGACATCAGGTGACCCAGGGCTGCTGTGTTTCCCGGCCACTGAGGTCCCGTGAGCCTCGGTCTCTTCTGCTGCTGTGGGTGAGTTGGGCCGCATGTTACCAGTGTGACTTCCTGCTTTGAGAGTCTTGGATGCCAACCAAGGAACCAGCCTAGGGGATCACTAAACACTTACAGAGGGGCTTTTGTGCCAGGCCTGGGCATAAAGGTAGGAAGCAAACAGGGGAGCCGAACTTCAATTCTAGGAGCCCGTGCAGTTGTGGGAGGTAGGTGGTGGTCAGTGTTCTTTCTGTCTCCATGGTTGCATTGTTAGGCTCTCTGGGGCTGCAATATGCTGTGTGTGTGTGTGTGTGTGTGTGTGTGTGTGTGTGTTGTGTGTGTGTGTGTTGTTGTGCTCAAATTCTGAAACCCCCAAATCACCAAGAGACCCATTTTGATTCAAAAGCAAAGAGCCTTTTATTGTTGTTTAACAAGCTAACCCATTAGCTCGGGCCCTTCATCTGCTCATGGGAGTGTGGGAATGCTCGGAGAAGGACCCTGAGAAACCACAAGGGGAGGATATATTGGGTAGAGCAAGGGGACGGTCTAGGGGTATGCAAGAATCTCAGGATTGGTGTGCTTCCGGGCTTGGGCAACCTATCCTTTATTGATTGGTCAACTGGTTGTTATGGCCTGTGGGCCCTCCCAGGGTGGTTGCTATGCTCTGCACCTCACTGTACCATAGAGTATACCCAGAGCCAGAAAGCACTGATTGGTTCCTTGCCAAAGAGAAGGGTATCTGACATCTGACCTCCTAGTGACTTGGGAGGAGGGGCAAGGTCAGGCAAGCTCATGTTGAGTCATGGCTGCTAAAGCAGGTGCCTGGTCCCTTCAGAGTGTGTGTGTGTGTGTGTGTGTGTGTGTGTGTGTGTGTGTGTGTGTGTGTGTGACCCATGAATTCAGGTGTGTGTGTGTAAGTGTGTGTGGACACCAGAGGGCGATCTCCAGCGTTGCTCTTCAGGCGCCATCTTTCTTACTTAACTTCATTTATTTAAACTGGGTCTTGGGCCAGGGATGTATCTCAGTGGTAAAGTACTTGGCTAACACATGTAAAGCCCTAGGCTTACTCCCCAGTGCCAGCAAAAATAAAAGGAAACAAACATGACCTGGGTCTTATGTCACTCAGGTGGCCTTGAACTCACCATGTGGTCTCTACATAGAGCTGAGGATGACCTTGGAGGCTGGGTTCTCCCACTCCACTTCCCAAGGGCTGGGATGACAGAAGTGAATCACCATGCCTGTATTCATTTGGTGCTGGGGATCGAACCCAGAACTCTGTGTGCTAGGTAAGCACTCTCCCCGACCTGAGCCCAGATTTGGATTTCTGATAGCTGTCTGGTAGGGCTAAAAAGGGGCCAGGGCAGGAATACGATTTGACGAAGGCTGTTGCAGTAGCAGTCTTGAGGACCTGTAATGGGGTGGGAGATGGACTCTTGTGTATGCATGGTCATTCTGGAGTGTGCTTATCAGCACCCATGGTCCCAGGTGGCCTCCAATGTCAGATCACAGCTGGAGCTCTAAGGACTTGTGGTGCCCTCGGAAAGGTTTTATTAAGGACGTGTTGGCGCTTTGAAAAAACTTCTTATACTTACCGACAGGGCTGGAAAGAGGTTCTGGGGGCGGGGCTGGGGCTGCCCAAGCAAGCACCCTGAGGGTTTTAGGGAATATGCCAGTGCGATAGCAGTTTTGGGTCCTTACAGCACGCCCGGCATTCATGAGCATGTTAGGAACCTCCGATCCTTGCTTGCTCTTCATGGAAGTGCTATTCTGATCCCTGCTCCCAGCAGGGCGGTATAGAGAGGCCAACTCACTGGTTGTTTGCCTCCACCCACATCATGTGACTAGGAGCACAGGAGAGATGATGCCTTTGAGATAAAAACAGCTTTACTGCTTTGTTTTTGTTCAGTTTTGTTTTTATTTTCATGTCCTATATACATGCATGGTTTGGGGCCTGCATAAAACTCAGGAGCCTGTATGAGAGAAAGCATACTAGATTTGGTTTCTTTTTGAGACTTGTTTAATATTATGTCAGGTGCATCCAATTTCCTGTAAACTTTGCTCTTCTTTATGGGTTAGAGTTCCATGGTGTGTACAAAACACATTTTTTTTTTATAGCCAGGCTTCTGTTGACTCCTAGGTTGGTTCCATAAGTTAGGCATTGTGCATGGCGTTGCAGTAAGCACTGATGTGCAGGGGTCCCTGTGGTGTGATGGCTTGGAGTCTTTTGAGGAAATACCCAGGGGTGGTACACCTGGGTTATACAGGAGGTCTGTCTGTAGAATTAGAGACTGAGAAGGGAAGGAAGGTGTTCTTGGCATAAGGAGGAAGAATCAAAGGAAATATGCATCTCCTTTTTCTAGAAAATCAGTTTTTCCTAAGGTTAGAGCAAGCCCAGAGGGAGAGAGAAAATGAGAGAGAGAGTGAGCGAGCATGGAGTAAGATGGCAGGAAGGACATTTGACTTCATTAGCAGGAAACACCCAAAAATGTTAATCCACAGAGACCGGAAGCAGATTCCTGGTTCCCTGGGGCAGGGAGAGTAGATAAAAGGGACTTTTTAATGGGCCCGAGGTTTCTTTTGGGGTGTGTGTTAATTAAACTTCCTGTTGTGATGGCCAAATAACTTGAATTTTGAGGGTATACTCCATCATGGGGCAAGTCATGGCTGTAGGAGCATCAGGCAGCTGGTTCTAGTGCATCTGCAGACAGGAAGGAGATGAACACAGGTGCCCGGCTCACTTTCCCCTTTAATTCAGCCCTAGACCCCAGCCTGTATGATGATTCTGTTCACATTCAGAATGATCTTCCCTTTCTATTTAAACCTTTCTGGAAACACTATCAGTGCCCCACATTGAGGGACATATGTCAGGTCCTGCTGACCTATTCTGTTCTGTCTGTACCTGAGAGGGGGAGTAGGAATTGAGGAAAGAAACAGGCTAGCAATAGAAGATAGTGCCAGGAGGGCATCCTGTGAATACTGAGATCCTCCTTAACTTTATTGCTCGAAATTCTTATATACCCCAACCAAAAGGGGGAAAAGGGCAAAAGAATTCTTTACCAGGATGCAAGGAACAAAAAGACATAGTTACTTCCTTAATTCTCGAAACATCTAATAACTAGATCAAACTTCTTCTTATCTAAGACATCCAGTGTCTACACCCTAGACCAAATACCCTTCAGTAGCCACACCTTAGACCTTTAACCCTTTAAGAGCACAGATAGGATTGAGCTCTCTGATCTTAAGTCAATGTGGAAAGGAGCCACTTCTATAGGCCCCAGACAAAACACCTCACAGAGACAGTCAGAATTTTGTTTGTCTGGTAATTCTGAGTCTAACCAGCTGTTAGTAAAGCTTAACTATTGCAGGGTGGTAGTTATGTCTCTGAACTAAACAGAGGTGGTGGTTTCACAATGTGGTGAACATATTATATACCACTGATGCATAATCTTCTCTTGTGATGCTGAGGATTGAATGAAGCAGGATCTTGGGCTTGCTAGGCAAGTGCTCTGACACTGAGCTGTGCTCAGCCCTGAAATGTACACTTTTAAAGGGGTTTTATTTCAATTAAACACTCGAAGGAGGCATGAGTAGACAGGAGCAAAATGAGTTATCTCTTTCCTTGCTTGGTTCCTCTTATCTAAGTGGCTTTCTTCTGATCATGTGCCAACCCTGAGTGGATGTTTTCTTGTCTGCTGGCATGACAGTTTGGTGAGACTCTGCACTCCGGGTGCATATGCACGAGTACTTCTCAGCAAATGTTATGGTGGATGAAAGAAGGGTTGAATCTTCGGATGAAGTTCCAAAACTTTGGCTGAGGATGATGGCAAATGGAAGTAGCTGAGGACAAAAAAACCCCAAAACACCCCAAGTTGTTATTAAGCTGGAAGGCCCACTGAAGACCAGGGCATGAAGTAACCTGGTAACTGGTGTTTCTATGACTACCATGTGTTCATTTATTCCCTCATCCCCCACCCCTCTGGTACTGCTGAAGTGTCTAACTGCAGAAGAAGAGAAGGTAGACTGACATAGGGTTGCAAATTGCTGATAAAAAGTGGGACTTTGTGGTTGACCATAGTGGTAAGGCCTGATGGAGTGGAGTGGAAGGCTTTGGGAAGAGATGGCTCAGTGAGCTGATGGAATGGAGGCCAAGGACCACAGGAAATTGGAAAGTGGTGATTTCGGAACTCTAGGGATGGAGAGCAGCCCACCAGTCCTGGGAATGGAGGCCAGGACAGTGAACCAAGAGAAGGCGTGTCAGCCATCTGGCTCAGGTACAGTGAAGGTCAAAGCCATTGGACTCCAAGAAACTTCGATATTGCAAGTTCAAGGACAGTGGGTTCTAAAATTTGGTGTTCATAATAACCATTGGAGTATGGGAAGAGAATATGTAAGTTTCCATTTATTCCCACCCTAAAATTAATGTCTTAAGATTTAACTGCATAAGTTGACAGTAGTACATTTTTAAAAAATAAATCAATATCCACTAATGGGAGCCTGTGCTTATTTCTGGCTGGCTGGATGCCTGACTCAAATAGTCCAGAGGGCCATGGGATCGGAAGAGTGGACAAGCCCTTTATGTCACTGAGTCACTGGGAGACCTGGTCTGGTAGCTTTTTTAAACAGATACCACGTTTCTCTGTACTGTCTCCTGGTTGACAACTTAGGGGGCTCTTCTAGAGAGGGCGTGATGTTATCCTGGCTCCTGGCTCTTTCCCAACTTATCCTGTGAAGATCATCTTCCTTCCTTCCTGACTTCTGCCATGCTGGGGATGGACTCTCCTGCTGTGCTCCACCTACAGCTTCTAGACCAGGGTTTTCAGTCATTCTCAGCCTTTGCTGGTACTTCCTCCTCTTGAAGCCTACACACTCAGCGTAGTGTCAATAGTTTTGGGATCTATCCTTTAACATTACGCTGGTTTTCTCCTTTTCTTCCTCCTCCTTTCCCATTCTTCTTCCGTTTCTTCCTCCCGCTCTCCCTTCTTTCCTTTATTTCCCTCTTCCTCCCTCCACCCCCTCCTTGTCATCTTTCCCTCCTTCTCCCTCTTCCCATCCTCTCTTCTTCTTCCCTTCCCCCTTCCTGATCCTCCCTTCCCTATTTCTTTTTCCTTCTTCCTTTCTCCATCTTTCCCTCCCCTTCCTTTCTTTTCCTGTACCTTCCCTCCTTTTCTCCCCCCCTGGCTCTTTTTATGTGTGCATCAATTTTTCCCACCCTCCAAGAGAGTATCACACACACACCCCAAATTAGG